GTACGTTTAACAAATTGGAAACTTTCCAATGGTGCTATTTTTTTTTCGTTAGCTATCAAAGAATCTAACATATCGTTATATTTAATTTTATTAATAGATTTGGGAGCGAATTTTAAAATTACTTTATTTAAGTCGTCGGTGGACAATGCAGATACGAGTGCTGCCCTTTTTTTCTCGTTGGCAGATATATCATTCAATATAAAATATGCCTCTAATTTAATACGAAATATTGAGAAAGAATCACTGTTATCCTTAATGGGAATCGATGGTGTCATCTTAGATACTTTTATATCGAATTTTAGTTATTTCCTCTGTTCGTCGCCCGTGTCGTCGCCAGTGTTAAATTTCTTATTTGTTAAATTGCTAAGTCGCCGAATTTCAAAGTCGAGATTTTACGTAATCTTATATTTCCTTAATGCTGAAATGGATTTTCTTTTTTCAATTTTATTATTTTTCATATAACTTTTTCATCTTTCTAAGAAAAAAAACAAAATCTTTTTCCAAAAAAATATAATTTTTTATTTTTATTTTCTAAGAAAAAAAACAAAAAAAAAATCTTTTTCAAAAAATACAAATTCCAAGAATTGGTCAAAAAAAATTAGTCACAATTCAAAAAAATCGATAAAAGAAAATAAAAAATAATAACAATCCAAAAAATCGATAAAAGAAATAAAAATAATAATATCTCCTTAAGATTTCATAACACTATTTATGCGCTCAATCGGTGTAAAGAAACCTTAGCTCAATTTCCTAATATTTTGAAGTTGTTTTATATTCTTGCATGTTTGCCTATTACAACATGTACGAATGAAAGGACTTTTTCCAACTTGAGAAGGTATAAAACATATTTACGAAGTACTACTTGCGAATCTCGGCTAAATGGGTTAGCTCTGTTAAAATCCTCAGAGATTTGGTTCCAAAGACAAATGAAATTCTCGATGAATTGGCAATATTCCCACGAAAATTAAAAATCACATTATAATTATAGTATTTAATAAAAATTTTTGTATAATATTGTATTTGATAAGAAGTTATATCGACGGCGCACGGCCGGCGCAGAAATTTCTTTCTACCTTTTTATTCTAATAATTGGTCAACATAACTCTTGTAATTTTTTAATAATCAGGATTTTGATGAATTTTTATTTCCTACCATTTTAAAATCATAATTATAATTGACGTCATTATAGAATTCAATCAATCAAAAATCTAAAATTCTAAAAGTTACCATAATTTTACATATTTTTAAAATGGATGCATCTACTTTAATAATTCTATAAATAATTTTAGTATCCTAACTCTGGATAATAAAAAATCCGTAGTCTGGAAATTTTTTGCAAAAGAATTAGAGAAATTATTACTGCTCTAAGATATAAAGCTGCAGAGGTTGAATTTGAATTCGAGGAATATCAAAGAAAATGCTTAAGTATAATAGCTTTAACATCAGACATGTTAGATCTTGACAGCATTGATCCATACCCGGATACCCATTTTCAAATTGGCAATTCCAATGATAATATTAACAATAATTCCACACATATGAAAACCTTAAAATTAAATATCCCAACACGTTGGCATAGAATATTAATTATGCTAGAAAGCATATCTGGATTAAATAAAAATTTAATTAATAATGCTTTGAAAAGAATTGGGAAGCACTTTCTCAAATTATCAAATTATGAATCTGATCTAGTAGAAAAACTATTAGCATTTCTTTCAAAATTTAAAGAAACTGTCGAATTTCTTTCAGTACAAAAGGGTCTACTTTAAATTTGGCGTTACTTTTTAGAAGTGAAATTGAAACACATTTAATAGTAAGTGATAGTGATAGTTAATCACTTAAGGAAAATATGCTAAAAAAACATGCGTTGCCCTTTCCGGTTTGTAATCTGCAAGTAATATTATATAAGTATATTCTATTATTTTTTATTTAAAATTATCTAGGTATTGGCTTCTCTTTTAGATCCAAGATTTTAAAAATTGACAATTGTGTCAAAGTATTTAATAGATAATAAAACATCTTAAACTTATAGAGAATGATGATAATCAGGTAGTAAATATAGCTAATGAGGATGAAGATGAATTATTAAATTCAAGTTATTTGACAAAATTGGCAAATAAACATTCAACAAATATAAATTATGATTCCAAGTTAGTGACTTAGAACAAGAATGCCACAGTTTTCTTGGAAAAAGACATTCATAAGATATGGACGTTCTAAATTTTTGGAGAGAAAAGAAGAGTGAACTTCCCAATCTTTCCAGGCTCGCCAAAAAAATTCTTTGCATTCCAGCGACTAGCATACCTAGTGAAAGAGTTTTCTCTACCGCAGGATTGACGTTAAATTTCAAGAGATCATCATCATGTCCCAAAAACTTAAATAAAATAATTTTTATACATGATAATTATAAAATTACGAAATCGATTTTGGATATAATATAATAAGTTTTCTATTAAATGAATATTAAAAAATATGCTGAGAAATCTGTAGAATAGTGTATATTTATTTTTTTTTAAATTAATAAGCAATTAAAAAAATTTATCTTATAAAAATTTATATATACGGCGATTTTATTGACGGCGGCTAAAAATCGGCGCGCCGCCGGCCGTTGATTAGATTTTTTTAAAATTGCACCGGTCGCCGATATTTCGTCAGCGCACAGGTCTAAATATACCTAACTTAAAATAATAAAAAAATAGGCTTGTAATATCCATAAGCACTAATTAGTAAATAATAGTTAAAAATAGGAATATAATAATAATTATTATTAAATTATAAATAATTTAATAGAATAGCTAAAACATAAGACCTGGCAGCCCCAAAAAATCCCCCCCCCCTCATAAGAAAATCCTGGATACGCCACTGTCACTGGGTATGCTAGTTTCTGGAAAACAAAGAATTTTTTTGCCGAGCCTGGAAAGATTAGGAACTCTTCTTTGGCGTTTTTAAGAATGTGGTATTCTTGTTCTAGTTATTTAAATTATTCATGTCTATGTGTCATCATATTGTTGACAATGAAATTCAATTATCAAAAAGATCAGATTCTTGTTTAATAAAAATTGGAGTTGTAATTAATGTATCATATTATAAATAATATAGCAATATTTTTATAAATTAGATACCTTCAAAAAATCTTTCATTCCTAAATTATCAATTGATTGCAAAGGTAATAAGTCAGCACAACATAAATAACACATAATTTCTGGAGAAAAGCCATTTTTAGAGGTCTTAGAAATTAATCTAGGATTTTGGTTTGGATATAAAATATTTTTTTTAATCTTTTGATGAAATATCTTCATTAATGTTATGATCAGAATCAAGTGTTTTAACCAATTTCCTATGCTAATGTAGATTGTTGAGTTTTATAGATAGATTATATTTTACAAAACATATTTTTTTAATTTATAAAAGATTTTAGCTTAATAGGGGAAAATAAAATTTTAAAAAAATACACAGTGAAAAGGGTTTATTTGAATCATTATCTTCTACAATAGCCTTTTCTAAGCAACTATTACAGTAAAATTTGTCATAATTTATGAAAATTGTTTTATTATCTCTTTTATAAGTATAAGAAAACCAAAGAATTACCAAACGAATGAATTTTTATTTTTTATTATTGTAATACTAAAATTATTTATAGATTTATTAAATATAGATGCATCCATTTTAAAAATATGCAAAATTATAGTAACTTTTAGAATTTTAGATTTTTGATTGATAATTCTAAAATGATATAAGAATTCCTAAAAATTCTGATTGACATTAAAAAATACAACAGTGAGTTCACCAATTATTACAAAAAAATGCATATATGTAAAAATTTATGCGCCAGCGTGATTTTTATAAACAACGACGTTATCGGGGTAACCAAAAAAGTCGACGACGGCGCACAGGTCTAGTATTACCTAAAGCGAAAATAAAAATTTTTTTTTGAATAGTGAAATCTAAATATGATACCTACTCAGCTAAAAATAAACCAAAATCATAGATGGAGCGATTTCATCCTCCAGAAATTTATTATATGCCGTGTAAAACTGTGATATTAATTATGCAATTATTACATAATTTATGTGATATGCTTATGCTGGAACAATAAATATATTATTTATAATGTTTGTATTAGTACCAGGGTTTTATATAGATCTTCAAATAAGCACTATAAGATTTTTTTCACCCAAAATTAGCAAAAAATCTTTGAAGATCATAAAATTGAAGATTAAAGATCAAAAAATTTTTACAAAAATTTGTGATTCCATCATGAAGGATTTTTTATGCACAAAAATCACAAAATATATACTTATAAAAGATTAGAAATTTTAGGTAAAATTTGATCAAAAATCCTGTTTAAGAATTCTCAAAAAAATCTTCCGAAATCAAAAGTAAATGTTAAACTCTGAATACTACTGATATTCAATAATTTTTGGAAATGGTTAATAATAAAAATATTTTTTAAGTTAAAAAAATGATGGTGGTAATAAAAAAATCGACTTGTAAAAATATTTGTCAAAGTATTTATTTGTGCAAAAAGTATTAGTTATTATCTGCATCTAAATACTTATTTTGAAATTTTTTTATAGATAAAATACTTTTTTTAAAGTATAATTTGTATATATATTCGAATAATTTTTTTTTGGAAATATATATTTGTATATTCGAATATTTTACCCTGCAAGTGCTTTATTAATTTATTTAATAAAATAATTTTAAAAAAAAATTCAATTTTTTAAAAAATTAACTGATAAAATTTCCTTTTCATTTAAAAATGGCATATTAATATATGATTTATACTTACTTATGAGACCATCTAAATGTACACTTTTCTAATTAAATGCATTTTAAAATTTATGAAATCGATCAAAGTATCTGAAGCTCAAACGTTTTATTTTGAAGGTTAACTAATTGAGATCTTTTAAATTATATTTTAACAAAAAATTATCAATTAATTTATTTAACAATTTGAACACCTTAGAATGAAACAAATAAATTTAATGTAAAAAAACCATAAATCATTTCTATAATCATTGGATCCATAAGGCAAGCGTGTTGTTTGTTGAAAATTTTTTCGGCTATCAGAGTGCAACAGGATCCAACGTATTCTATACATATATCGCAACTTGAATGAAGATTCATTCATTTTTTTTGAAAATATAAATTAAAATTATGAATTTAAATATTTGACACGTTTTAAAAAATTGTACATATTTTAGAATTTATAAATCTAATTATCGTTATGTATAAGATTTTTCAATATTATATGTGAAATTTTAAATTTGTATTAGAGGAGGCTGGGGCTAGTCAGCGCATGGGGATTTTCGCTATAATTGATTTATTTTAAAAGCAGTAAAGCTTAGATGTTCAAATTTATGAAAATAGCATTCAATAATATATATTTGCAGATATTTTTTTAAATTCGCCATCTATTTAAAATTTATGATTAAATTTGTTTTTTACATATAATATTTTACATCTCAATTTTATATTATAAACAGTTTTTAAAAAAATTATAAAAATGGACATTGCATGAAAGTTAAAACTCTCTTTTAATGTTTTGCAAGGTATTATGAAGCGATTAGTATTATAAATACCCTAAGGATTAGTAGAATCAGAGCTAGTCATATTAGTTAAATTATGCTTAAAGATATTGTTAAAATGTATTAGTATTCATTATATAATATTATAGATTGATCAATTTGATAGACAATACAATAAATTATGAAGAAAAAATATATAATTTTTTATGTTATTTTTATATGAATATTTAAATTTAAGTTCTATTGTAATATTATATATAAACAAACTATGGTGCATCATAAAGGAATAAAAAGAATATTTGTTCTTAGGAGACTTAATAAACCTTGATTCGACTAACACCAAAGTTGATCCGAAACACTCCTAGTTCAGGACTTGTTTAAAATCCATTTTTACTAAAATAGATTTTGAGAAAAATGTACTTGGTATTTATTTTTAAAATGTTAAAGATATCTATTGGCATTTTGTAATTCTAAATTCATGAAGATTCTGGGTTTCAATTATTAGCCCCGATATTCTTTATATAGGATTGGGAATTTCAAAAAAATTATAATATATTTCAAAATGTATTTTAAATAAATATACTTTTATGAATACTTTTTGGATTCGATTTTCATACCAATAATTATGCTTGGTTCTCTCGTATCAAAAATAAGTTTAATAGGAAATTACAAGGAAAAATAATCCCCAATTATAATGCATGTAAAGTTACATATTAATAAAAAGTAATAGAAAAATAAGATATCCATCTACAGTGAAAATAATTCGAACATTTGTCAGATCGTCCTTAATGCATATTTGATTATAGAAAGTGTGCATTCAAATAAAAGAAAAATTCATAAGTTAAGAGTTCCTATATATATTTAAGATAAAGTATAAAATTGGAGGATGAGAGAGCTCCATTTTTTATCTTAAGTTGAGCACAGATTGCATTGTACATTTACTTTATTATTGATTTTGTAAGATATTTTGAAGAACATTCTCCTTTAGAGAATGAGGCATCTTATTAAACATCATAATGCCTTTAAAAAAATAGTCTGCGGAACTGGAATCTATATTTTCTAGTTTTATATTATCTTCTTCAAAAAAATTTACTTCAGTTTCATTTTCTGTATAAATATTGCTGATTTTAGTTAAAAAGGATGAAGCAGATAGATCTTGATTTTTTTTCTCAAACTCGAACCATAAAATTGATATTTAAATTAGTATTTTAAATAGAAGTATTCGCGTTACTGTCCAACCTTCTCTAAATTACATAGAGAAAATCCCATATATATAAAAAAACTTAATAACTTATACTCTTTATCATTTTCCGAAAGCTCTTTATGGTGATGATCAAGAATCTCAACGACGCAAGGAATTAAACAATTATCCTGTTCGGGTAAGGTGTTGTGGTCAACCAGTGTTAGTAAAAGTTTTCTTAAAAAATATATTGTTTGAGTTTTTAAAATATATAGTTAAAATATGAAGCCTATGTAAAAGAGAGAGAGTAAGATATCTTTAAGTTAGGGCAATTTTTTTTAAGACTTTACATTGTTAAATATAAATATATAATATATGGGGAGGAAAAACTTAACTGCTTTAAACATAAGTCCTTGAGATTGAGAAATGGATTATCACGAAATATCAAAAGATTCGCTGGAATGCCCATTCTATCCAAAAGATATTTAACTTCAGTTTTAAGCTTGTAATCGCTGGATTTAATATTTAACAAAGGTACCACAACATGGTTCGAGATGGAAGCATCTTTAATCTAGATGGAAAAATTAGCATCATAATTTTATGTGTAGGCGTAAAAAATTTATAATTTTTGATGTAATAAATTTTTAATACCTATTGCTTTGCATTTGTGCTTATTTTAATGGATTAATAATAAAAGGCGTCGGTAAACATATATAGCAATTTCGAATCTTATTAAAACGCAATAACATTCATTTTTAATATATATATATATATATAACTCATTTAATCAGTGTCCTATTCGGATTTAATTAACATCGAAAAAGGATATATCAAATTGTAAAAGGTCACTATATGTATGAAAAATGAGACTATGTGACTAAAAATGCTATATATTAATAACCCTAACGCGTAACACTGTAACTTCAATCCTAACCTATATGATGAGGTTGATTTCAAAAAAAAACAGTCCCGAGTTGGTATAGACTAGTATGGTGCCGTGTTTTAGTAAAAGTTCCTAACCTCTGAGCTCCTGTCACTCCAAATATAAAAAATAAATATATAAGAATTTATGGCGTTATCAATAATTTACAAAAAACACCCAAAAACGAATAACGTCAGATATTATATATCATTACCCTTACTTTCAGACATGGCCCGGTTCAAAGATCAGCTGGCCGAACCTAACAAAAGGGAAAACAAAGCTTTAAATAATTTAAAAAGCAAATGGCAAGACTGATGATATAAAACCCTTTATCAATCGACCGCTTCCTAAAAAATATAAATTATAATTAATTGGTACAAATAATGGTCGGTCGGTTTAGTGCGTCCGAATCTAAAACACGTGGAAACAAGAAATAACATAATTACACATGCTTTTTTAAATATTATGCCTGATTATATTATTAATAATAATACAGATAAACGGTTATATCTATATAATATATTTCATACGGCGTAATTTGATGTTTTTAATTTTAAGGGGTAAGAAGTGCTTTAATATTTATTTAAAACCTTGGCTAATCTTATTGCCCAATAAATAAATTAGAAGTATAAATTGAATAAGCTATGTCTACGATAAATAAGCAAACCTGATAACAATAAACAATTTAATAAAATATTATTATAAATCAATCAAATATTAAAATAAAATTGGGAGGAAAAAAGTAATATGCGACATCCTGTAAAAAGTAAGTATATTCATATCCGAATGCTCAAATATAACATAATCGCGATGAGCACATTTTCGAATATGCCTAGCGAAACGTATTTAAATAAAATAACATATTATATTATATAATCAATATAAACATTTATAAAAAGTTTGGCTGGACATAACATTAAAGATTTGGGATTTAAATTGATTTTATTGGTCCTTCTTTTCGATATTTTAAAAGAACAATATACAAAGCAGGGAGACCGGTGCACATCGAACCGTATTTTGTAAAAACCTTTATAATCAACAATCTCAACACACCCGATAGAGAAACCTAAATGAATAAGACACAATTGGTAAAACGACTTCTAAGAATACAGGTGAAATAACACATAACCATAGGAGAAAACTCTCTCGCAATGCACGCAGGACTTATAAGCTACAGAGTTATTCAAAGAAGTCAAAATATTATTTGATAAAAGCAAAAGGCATAAATATAAATATCATTTAAAATTAATTTTAAAATGCGATTTACAACGAATCAAGGCCTATAATCGTATTAATTTAAATAATCTTTTTTTAAGCCGAAAAATCCAAATCACTTTTTCGAAAATCAAAATTGTAATTACTTCGTAAAGGAAATAAGCGTAGACTAAAGAGCTTATAGCTGAGTCCAAATCGCAAGCCTCGTTTCCCATAATTACGCGTATCGCGTCAAAATTGTCAAGGTTTTCCTGGAAAAAAATATAGATATTGCTGTTTAAAAATAATATGTATAGTAATTATTTATAATTATTATATATAAATTGTGTATAATTTATGTGATTAAATAATTATATCGGGAAAAAAAATTCTTTTTATCTTACCTTGGCTTTCTAAAAAAATGTTTTTTTTTATAGTTTAAAAAAAACCTTATCTTTTTGAAAAGAAAACTTTATAAAATAATTTCCAATATTTGAAGTATTTTATATTACATACCGTGAAGACCTTTAAACAACAACTCAAAGGGCTGAGGTGGAATGTATAAAGCATTTTAAATATAATTTTGGTAACATAATAACATTTAGAGGTCAAGATACTGAAAGGGTCAGTTTTGGGGGTTTCATTGTAAAATCAAATTCTGATTAATAATCATACATATAAAGTATAAACAAATTTAAAAAACCATTATAATAGCCAATATAAAAAACAATTTGTAGCTTTCTTCTATACTAAAATAGTTAAAATATAATTTATATAGACCTGCTTCATAAACTCTTTTTTTTATTACTCTTTTATTACAAAGCGAATACCAATAAATCTCTAGCAGAAATGAAAGAAAAAGAAGATAATAGGCCATTTTTTTAAAACTTATTTAGTAATATACTCAGATGAACTAGAAATAAATATATATTAAAGGTACAATGTAAAACTAATTTTAACAATTGCATTTACTTTCAAACCAAAATTTATTAATTCCTAATTAGCAGCATATCCTATCCTATTACTGTATTAATGAATAAGAGTCTAAAATATTAAGATATAATTCTAAAAAAATTATCAATTAAAAATTTATGATCTCAAATATTATAAAATTTATAGTGCATTTTACTCCTATTAATAATTTTTTTTTAAAGAAGGTTATAGGAATGAATAAGAACATTTTAGCTATATTGCTATCTTACAAATATTGATTTTTTTTTGAAAATATCATAGAAAATGTAAATTCGCATTAGAAATTATGAAGAATTAACTTAAAACGCAATTTATTTTACTAAAATAGATATGGGGTATAAAGAGCTAGCTTTGATTATATAAGATGGCTAGGATTGTGGTAGAGAATTTGATATTAAAGGGCAGAGTGTAAAGTCATGCTAATATTTTAGGGATACAAATAAGAACATGGCTCTACATATATATTTAATCTCACCAAAAAAACAAATATGGGAGCTTAGAGTTTGATTTATATATTTTTTAAAGGGTGTTATAATAAATTTTAAAAAAAATTATTTGACCAATCAAATTTAGCTCCGCTCTAAAAATAGAAATATTGCATTCGCAATAATGCTCTCGATATATTTTGCAATGCATTCTCGGTATTGAAAAAAGTTTCGTGCATATGACCACCCACTAATACTGAAGTTTTTTTAAATATTTTGTTTACATATAAAACCCGATAATCAACTATTTGTTTGTTGTAATTGCTCAATATTATTTTTCCCGTTTTTATCGATGTCAAGTAAACATTATTAAAAAACAATGTGACCTCTCAATATCGCTTCTTTTGTGGTTTAAAAAATATTTAAACATTAGCGTTGTGTTTTATCGCTTAATAGAGTTAAAATTCGATTTTTAATTTAAGTGCTAAAAGTAGTAAAAGACACCACTAAATTAAGATACTTTTATATATAAACAAAAAAATAACTTCATCAAATATAATCAAATATGATTGGTCATTTTATGAATATTAATATTTATCATATTGTATAATTTGTTGGAAGAAAATGACAAAATAAATATGTATAATACATAATTGCATAAATTTCTGCATGAAAAGATATAACAAAACAAAACAAAAAGATGCACATATTTTACAAAAGGAAAATGTTTTTGGTGTTTTTTTTGCGCAAGATTGTATTATATTGGATTGGTAAAAAATCGATAAATAAATAAAATGTGTAGGCTAATTTGGTATATAGTGTATTTTTTTGCCTTTAATACTAATAGTATAATAGAAATATCATAAAAACAAATATATGATTTTATGAAGAGGTTTATTTTATTGAAATTGGCTGGTGTGTCAATAGTTTTTTAAAAGCTAATAAATTTTAGGCAATATTTTATTCTAATGACACCGAGTAGTGAAGATTCTTAATTTACCATCCTTATCAGGAGAGAACGAGGAACGTTGAGTATAGAGGAATGTCAGTCCACTCCAATTATAATTTAAACTATTATTTTATAAGACTGAAAATTTAAGCCTAATATAGATAATTACGTAATACATGATTGGCTAAAAAATATTTTACAAATATTTAATATTCAATTTTACTGAGGAAAAGTGTTTTAGCATACCAAATGTAACAAAAAAATAATTTCAAACTTCATCGTTTTAGATTTATAAATAAAGCGTCTAAAATCTTAATAAATAAATTTTTAAAAAACTCATCTGACAATTTTTTAGAATCATAAATGGGCTAATATGATTTTGAATGATATTTGTAAAGTTATGGGCTAGGTCATGGTTGGTAGTAGCATGGTTGTTCCTTTTAATTATTGCATATTTGTTTTTTAATTGATTAATGCATGTAATTTTCAATGAATATTTACCAATCTAAAATATCAGTTTTTAATTCTAAAATTTCTTAAAATCTCTAAATTCAATTTAATTTATTAATATATTTTGTAAGGACAACTATCATCCATTTTTGGACCAATGACCCAGGATACTGAAAAGTTAAGCCAAAAAAAAAAATTTCAATTAAATTTTCTAAAAAAGTAGTTTTTATAAAATATATATTAGCTATTATAAATAGCCTGTACTTTGGATTTAAAATGTGTTTTATTTATTCAGATTAGTTTAATATTATTGAATTTATTCAGATTTGAACAAAAAGTGGCCCAATCTATTCCGCCCTCCCACTCTCCTACAGATTGGATTTCGTTAAAATAAGAATAATTTGTTCTATGCCTAATTTAGATTTTTTTACATTAACGCCTTTTATTTCAATTGTAAATTTTGTTGAGCAAATTGATATTTAGATAACTTTTTAAGATTTATATTTTTTTAAATCTAAAAATGGATGATTTGTTTGTAAATTTTTACTAGAGAAAAAATTCAAATAAAAAAATTTAGATCCAATTTCATTGCTCAATTATAGAATAGACACTTGGGAATTTCAATATATTTCATTTTACATATTTTATAATGCTAATATGAAAGGAGTTAATAAATCTTAATATAAAAATGAAAGGCTTTCCTATGAAAATTTAAAAAATAAAATAATTGATAATAGGTTCCAAATAAACAAACCTTTTAAAAATTGTTAAATATGCATAAAAATAGTGAATGAGGGAGATATTTTGAGATATCTTTTTAAAAAAATGAAATAATTAAAGTGCAATAAAAAAAATATATAAGACAGATATGCTTTTAACCAAATTGATTTTGTTTTTAAGGATCTTATTATTCATAATAGAAATAATACAATATAGAAAATATGAATATTATGGTAATAAAATATGAATTGTTTTCTTAATAAAAAATAAATTTAAAATGAAATTTGCTCTCCCTCTCCCAAAACGTTTATATTAAGGTTTTCATCTACAATCTAGATCAAACATGATCACTCTCTTTAAAAGAGTTGTCCACTATTACCGCTCCTGAAAAATCCAAAAGAAGCGATTCGTTTTGTCAGGTTCACTCCTTATGTTTTTTAAAATCGGTCTTTATCCAGGACGGTATATTTGAAAATTAGTCTGGTCCGTGGATGGACCGTAGATCTTTACTATTTAGGATAGAATCAACAGCTGATTTACCATTTAGGCATGATCATAATACTAGTAATAACTCAATTTTTGATTTAGACTTAATCTCAAAAAAATCAAAATCTATTTAGGCATATCGGGTTCACTTTGCCCCACCCTAATCAGGTGAGTGAATAATAAAAGAAAATTATTGAAAAAAGAAAATATATCGCAAGAACATATTGTCACGACATTCATTGTCATTATCAGGGGTTCGAACCGAACCGAACCGCAAAACCGGAATGAACCGTTATGATTTTCTGAACCGTAACCTTAACCGAACCGTTATGAAGAAAATATTAAAAGAGCGAACCGAACCGTTATAAATATTTTGAACCGGTTTAAACCGGTTCAAAACGGTTTTAAAAATAATTAATTTTAAATTATTAACCTAAATTTAAAATTTTAATTTTCCTTGGGGGCATTTTTTAAAGTGGTGATTTCTTTTCAAATTAAATATTTCTATATTATCAACATTATATATCAAATAAATATTTTTATATTATCAACATTATATATCAAATAATACCAGGTTTGTTGTTTTTTCTTTAAATACTTAATTTATAAGAAATTAGACAATTTATCTGTTAATTAGATAAGATATCTTAAAATCAAACATAATTATTCTTGGCTAAATTAACAAATTTATATATAAGATATTAATAAGCTTTTAGAATAATACCTGCTAATAATTAGGAAAAAAATTATATAATTCTATTATTAATAAATAACATCTAATAGAAATCAAGTACCTTTTACATTCATTTTTATAAGTAAGATTTTTATTATTTAAAAATACAGATTTAGAAAAATATTCATTACAAATGCCATTCTTTAATCATATTTTTTTTTATTTTGCATATATGATAATGGTAAATGCTAACTAACATATTATTTTAATAATAAATATTAGAATTCTGAATTTTAAAAAAAATATGATTTTTATAAATAAAAAATTATTATATCATTAAAATATTTATTGCTGACCATTTATTTATTGTCATTTAAATTCTATAATCCAAGTTATTTAAAAAAATAAAAATGAAGGTAAAATTGTTTCTATTAAGCTTTTTTATTTATTCTATTTATATAATAAAAGATTTTCAT